ATCTACATGTTTCTGCAATTGTCGCCGAAAGACGGTAGCCTTGCATGTGAAGAGAGAGAACAAAACATTTATTTGATGTTCTGCGCAACAAAAACGGTGAATGGTATTCTGGAGGCGCTGCACTAGAGTGTCTCGAGTGTGCATCGCAGGCGAACGAGCGCACCAAATCACGTAACACGTGAGACATGAGTGCTATCTGGCAGTGTTCTAGAAAAACGATGCGCGTGGCTTTGAGACGGGCGTGATTAGGAGTATAACGGAAAGCGACGGGTAGATGACACCACCGTTTTGTCTTAGCAAAGCCCTGGAAACGCTCGCCGTTTCGTGCAAGCGTTGCATGGTCAGGGAAGCGTGATAAATGCTATGGTCCTTAGAATTATGTATGCACTTTCTAGTAAAAGACGCACATACAGAATATATACGTGTTACGGTGCCTCAGATATGCGCAATAATTATTTCTAATTGACAATCGCACAAGCAAGAATTGTGAACCTTGAGAAGCATTGGTGGACGCTACGGATGGGTTCGGCCGTTCGGGATAGCGGCTAGTGACGCTTCGAGTACCGGAAACTATGAAGAATGGACAAACAAAGAAATGTACAGACAGACAGACAGACAGACAGACAGACAGACAGACAGACAGACATAACGACAGACAGACAGACAGACAGTCAGTCAGACAGACAGACAGACAGACAGACAGACAGACAGACAGACAGACAGACAGACAGACAGACAGACAGACAGACAGACAGACAGACAAACTAATCAAAAGTTTTGCGTCGAAGGTCCCCAAGAAAGAGTTTCGTCTTTTAAAGAGATGGACAGGGATTTAGAACGTATTTCAGATAAATATGTGGCTGTAAAGTCCCAAAACTACCATGTGATTATGAGAGGTGCCGCTGTGCAGGGCATCAGAAATTTCGACCACCTGGGGTTCTTCAACGTGTATCCCAATCTCAGTACACGGGCCTACAGCATTTTCGCCTCCATCGAAAATGCATTAGATTGCTACCATCTCGGGGCCAGCAGTCGAGTACCTTAGCCACCGATCACCGTGGCAGGGCAGAATGTATGACAGGAGCATCCTCACATGATGGGGGGGGGGGGGGGGGAAGGGTTGATCCTATGTGTTCGCGAACAAGTTACACTTCGGCAATAATTCAAAACTATGCCACTATGCCTGATGATATGTGGATGGTAAATAAATAGCTTTTGTTTCGATCATAAGTGATGCCCACATGTTCAACACGCATAGCACTAAACAAATTATCACCGCGCCACTATGCTACCGGATATAATGCTGTGCGCTGTTTTGCGCAACAGAACGGAAACACGATTGCAGGCTGGTAGTGTGGTCCTGTAATGCCATTTTGTGAAGTTCCTCAATTTAGCAGAGCCCTTTATTAACATAAAAATCGGCGAAGGAAATCTTCGAGCTTGAAGTTACGCCAGTTTGTGTTGCTCAAGCAAGTTGTAAAGAAAAATATTAGAACTTTAGGGACTGTAGGAAGGCCGCCGCATTACTTCTCAAAATTGAATGATTACCTTCCAGATCATGATAGAGCAAAACTTCAAGAAAGATTACATTTTTTTACTGCATAGGACTGACAGCATCAAGTACAGCTGCGGCCACGTCGGTGAAGAGCACGCGAAGAGACGGTTTTTGCTCTGCGGGGCGAAACATTGAGGCAGTGTCAGGCTGTGGTGTAGTCAGCTTCACAACTAGGTTATGCATGCTCCTTATACACCACTTCAGAGACCAAAACTGCCTCAAGGTTTCGGCCCGCAGAGCAAAAAGTGGCTGCTCGAGCGCTCCACACAGAGGTGGCTACGGCGGTACGTAGCGAGTGCAGCTAAAGAGAGAAGTTGAGCAACTTGCTATTTACACTCTAAAAACAAAGCATATACTTACAATAGCAAAAAGAATGTGGCACGGGTTGACTATGCTTGCCATTGCGCTGTGCTTTCTGTACCTTTCTCTAACGCCATTCAAACCTCTGCTTGTTAACTATTTACGGGAGACCGTTAGCACATAATACTGCTTTATGAATATCAACTTGATAGGTAGAGTTCATTCAAAGGTGAATGAGCTTTAGGTAACAGCTCATTGTGTTAAATTAGAACAGAATACACAAAAGGATATTCGCACGTGACTTATTCGCAAAGGTAACGTATAAATTTCCAATATTTATAAGCACAAGTATCCTCTACTGTCATGCCTTCTGATCACACACAAGCGCATACGCAGAGACCGACAGAGCCAAGCATTATAACCGAGTTCAAAACAGAAAATAAATGTATATAGGTTTACAACTTTTATTTGTGTCTGCGGAATCAGTATTCTTAGTAGAGTGGGATGAGGATAGGCTGATATGATGCCACAATCACTGCGTAATACATGCATACTATGCAGCTGAAACGAAAAAAAAATAGATCCATGTTAGACAAAATGAGGGACTTCAATATGATTAATTTAGGTACATATAACGCATTTTAAAACAAATGTTTTTCTTTCACTTAATAGAAGTTTGGGCCACGCCAAGCAGCCGAATCACAATCTTGTTGCAGAGAATGAGGACCGACGAGGATAATGCAGGGTACGATTGACCGCAATTAATAGTTTCTGTGTCACAGCAGTGTAATACTGATCATATAATTTTGCGGTTTGCATACAAGGATTACTTCTAACGATGTTTTTCGCGCAAGGCGTTCGTGCGTGGCAAGTGACCTCAAATGAGCAAAAAAATGACAAATCATTAGTGATATAACCAGTTCGTCGCACTTTCGAAGGATGAGGTGTAGCATTTGAGTTCATAGAATTGATTTAAGGTAACACGGTGCAACTACGCTAACAGCTGCACGTCGTATAATCGGGTGCACAGAATAACACTATGCCGCCTTTAACTGGTTTGGTAAGTTTCGGAATGTCTTGGTTGCTTTCTGTTTCTCGCTGTTTGTCCGCACATATATCTCATACAGGTGCACAGCTGAGTTCGTATCACAAAAGACCAAGAGTCTGACGCTTCCAGCTAGAAGTGATACACAACCAAAGACACATTTTGAAAAGCCAATACGATGGCTTTTGCAGGTGGTAAATCATACAAAGGCGCGCAGATTCTGACTTCACCTTTGACTATTAAACTCGAAGGAATGTGACAATGATTGGCGAGCGTTCTGACCATCAGGTGATATGCTTGGTGTAGCCGAGTGATTCGAGATACACACGCCATGTTGATACTTGTCGTTTGCGTAACGAATTGATTAATTTGTGAAGTTTAACGTCCCAAAACCACGATATGTTTATGAGAGACGCCGAAGTGAAGGGATCCGGAAATTTCGACCACCTGGGGTTCTTGAACGAGCCCCAAATCTGAGCATACGAGCGCACAACATTTCCGCCTCCAGTGGATTTCCGTAACGCAGTGAACGTTCTAAAAGCCACCGTGCTCCCGCCGCTACGGTGCCTAAAATGTGGCAGTCGCAAACTACTGCAACGAACGACAAACGGTAAAGATGACGTTGATTTCTTGTAAAAAAACAGTGTCAAAAAGACTTTTTTTTGAACGTACACCCCAGGAAAATGAAAATGACGGCTGTCGGCCTGGGTACTGTGCTAAACCGGTTCTCGTGCAAACCATGTTGCATTTTTTATTGCTTTGTTATAAATGTTACGTGATCGTTAGGCTGCAACGGGCTATTTTATAAGGTTAAATACCAGCAACTAAAATGAAGACGAAGATAGCTTGCGCAACGAGTCATAAGAAATGACTTAAAAAGAATTGACACCAGAATAAAAAAACAACCAGTGGTCGCACTTTTCTAAATTAAGGTTTAACATAGAAATGCGCGGTTATTGTAAAGGAGGGTAATTAGAAAAAACCCACCTTTGAGAAGTACATGAAAACATATAAGATGTTGATTGGAAGGTATATTTGTAAACATCTAGCACCGAAATGGTGACTTAATTCAAGAGTGATATGTTTTTTCGTCCACTGCTGTCCACATTTTCACCACGATATGAAACTTTGTATGTTCACTAAATTGAATGTTGGGAATGATCATGAACGGTAGTATTGAGTGTGCATGCGTTACGTGGTTTCTCATAAATTACAAATTACGAAGGTTTCGTAAGGCTCTTTGTCAGCAGAACACAGTCTCTCCCCACTTGTAGCCGATCGCATGAATCGTGAATTGTCACCTCTTACGCGACCGTGCACAGCAGCACACCTCCTTGCTAGAAAGTTGTTTTGAAAACTTCGAAAATTTCATGCCGAACACGCGTTTGGCTGGTCGCGAGATGCGCCTTCTTGCTGCAGAAGCTGAGGAACGTGAAAAAAAAATTGAGGAATGCCGTGCAGATGCAGCCAGAAAGCAACGCTTCATAAAGGCTGCAACCTACAATGAAACTTCTCGCACGACTGTTGCTTTGACTTCTTCGAATGGGCGTGCCACGTAGATACCTTTAGGGGCGAAGCTTCTTATGGTCTCTGTCCTTCCTTCGTAATTTGTTGTAGTAGCCACTATTAGATAGATTTAAGAAGTGCTCAGTCTATGGCGTTTGTTTATGTCCTTGGAAATATTATAGTCAAACGGCGTGAGTGGTTTTCGTATACTGACAATGAAAAAGGATAGGAGCAGACGGACGGATGGACAGACAGATGGACGCTTCTCCGCACTTATCATTCGCTCATTGAATATGCTGTGAATTTTTACTCGTAGAGGTGGTGGTCACAAACCTAAAGTAATTGTTTGTTTTACTAAAAGCAAAACGCTGTTTCCATAAGTGTAGTGCCACAAAGGCACACGCAAGACTTGTGTAGTGAGAATGTTACGCGCACCATTACGCACTTTTATCAGTAACAGCTCATGTATGTAGCCTCGTCAGTATTGGGCTTTCGGATTAGGTGACTATAAGAAGAGCCAGTTGCCATGTTTTTATAAGTCTATAAGCCGAGTACGCTTCTCTCGACATATACTGCAGTTAAGCGTTCACTCACCGCCTTACTGAAGCATTTGACTTGCTTGAGCATATATTCTGCAGGTTGGTCAATGTACTTTGCTGCCTTTAACTCCGGCTTGCTCTCAGGCTCTCTTGCATATGGTCGTTTGGAGGGCTTGTACGAAGAGACGACTGAAATGAAAGAAAACAAGAAAACAAATAAAATCTTCTCACTGGTACAGCATGTTACGTTGTTCTTTTTTTTCCTGTTGAGTTGGATATCGGGTTAGCTATCGCGAACTGGTGGTCATTTTAGCTACAGTTTTCTTATGACATCATCCATTGGCAGATTCGGAACACTTGTGAAACCTGTTATTGTGCGTCATGTGAATTTCGTCTGCCTGATTAGTAGATTGGCAGTGCTCTTTGAATGTTCTGATAAAGATCCTGAGCAGCCTCTGTACATGGAGCAACATTTTATACTCAGCGAAAAGTGGGAAAACCAACCGGAAGTCGAAAGCATCCTGTGCCTGGGAACGGTGCTAAATCTGTACGCGCCCGCGCCGACGGATGCTTGTAGCGTCAGTCGTGCCTCACGTTTGCGGGTTGATAGCGTAGCGTCACTTTACCAAAAAAGACGCACACATCGCCTTCCAATATGGCTAACTCCGTCTCACTGAGGCTCTTGCCGAACACACTTTGTAATATGCAGAGTATGCTTGAAAATATAGTGTCCTGTCAGTTGTTCCAGAGAAAGAGCGTGTGTTTTATTGCTAGATTTATTCTTTTGCACTCCACCAGAGTGGAGTGCTGCGGCGCAGAGTTTGTCGGCCACTCCGAATCCGCCAATAATTGACACCAGTCAGTAACGTTGTTCCCGACAGAATAAGCGGGCCAATGAGGTGTTTGGATTTCATTACATGACGCTTATCTTTTCAGGCGCTTCCTATGGGGTGTTCCACAACTTATTTCATTGAATAACTTTGGTCACCCCCTTACCCTTCTCCCGTGAGCACGACTATTGTAGTGAGGTGAGTGACCCCCGCATACCTGCGCCATGTTCATACCAGGAAAGCATCGCGGCTGCTTCACGTTTGTTTTACAGGTACTTGTGTGGAACGTGTGCGCGAGAGGAGCAGACGAAAATCAGCATGACGTGCCTCACATCCGTCACATCAACGAAGCCACCTACTCCGTACGTCACTGACCAATTCGGCTCCTAGAAACCGAAACTGAAAACTGCCAACATGAAAAAGGTGATAATAAATATTTTAGCAAAATGAAAAAATCTTGGTGCATGTATCGTGCTTCCTGGAGCTATAAGAAACGCATGCAGCAAAGAACGCGCTAACCACAAATACGCGCACAGTCACAAAGTGTTCATGCACAGCCTTCTTTTTTATTTAAACAGTATGCCTAAATATGTACTACGGTAGATGCCATTCGGACGATCAGCTTTCCTCTTAAAATACTGAAAAGCGTGTTTCCTTTAAAGTCCCGTAAATGCCTTCTTGAGCACGCACTGAGAACGTCGGCTAACGTATGAAAACGGAATGAGGACATTTGTACCATTTGAGGGCTACCCAAGGTCATCGAGTGTTCTCTGGGTGCGTATTACTTTGCGAAATTCTAATAGACAAAGAGAGCTTTACCTGTGAAGGTATTTCTAATAAACTTTTAATTTGTTGGATTCTCATTGATTTAGTCATTTTAAATGATAGCTATCACCTATATTATTGATGCGAAACCTTATAGCGTATAATTTCTTATTCCAAGATGACTGAATTTTTTTTTTTTCAGGACCAAAATTTCAAGTTTTTTTTTCCCATCATATTCCCAAACAAATAGGAAAATCATAAAGAAAGAACAAAACGGCATAGAAAATGAAAATACCCATTCATACGACCCCGCTGGCCCTTAGTAGAAGGGCTAGCTACTAAGGCTATTTTGTGCCTCAATGCGCTGGGGCGCGTCCACACTGAGCATTTAAGCCCCCGAAAGTGCGCCGAATCCGACTCGGCGGTGGCGAGATCTGTTGAAAGAGTCCTCTCGGCGCCGATCGCTCTTGGACTGATTCTTGCGTCGTCTGCTGACGAATAGCTCACTAAGGAGCACTCGTCAAGGAATATCGACAAATGGCGGACTAGCCCTGTACGTAACTGAGTGTTGTAACTAAGGAAAACCCCTGTGTAACCGATGAGAGTTTTACCCATTGTGTGCCTACTACGCGTCCCTTTTTTATTGAACAGGTGACCGAGCTTGTCGTTGGCGTGGCGGAGCTTTTCGCGGCCTTGCGAGCAAGACAAACCCACCAATACCACTGGCGTCGGCGGTTTTTCCTGCTCCTAATGCATTACAAGACAGCAACTTGCCAGCGAAGAAAGCACTGCTGCTTCGTCTTGCTTCCTGCATTGGAGAATCATTGAAGTCTGGGCCAGCGGATAGCATGGTGGCGTTTACGAGCCGCAACAATAACCGGGTAACAGCGCATTCATTACGCGTTCGCCCGGTGGCAGATGGCATATTCGGCAGCACTGGGCACGTCCATTGCGAACGACGCTGCATTTCGGCGGTAGGAGAATTTCGCTCTCTGTAAAAAGTGGATGCTTCAGTGTAAACTAGGGGCAACGCAGCGCCTCTAGAATCCCAATCACCAATTCGCTCGCGCAGATCATCAAATAAACGTTGCATTCACGTTCTCCAGACGGAAGGCTATCGCTTTTCGACGACATTTGCAGTAAAAATTGCAGATATGGAGATCACGTTTGCTGAGGCTGGTCGACACAGCAAATTCCGTGGTTACAGACACTTTAGGCATGACCGGCCACTGCACCAACAAGGAAGTTTTGCGCTGCGGAGTTTCTGTTCTACTAGGGCTTCAATGATTGTTTAGGACGCTATTCGCGGACAACTTTAGGGGCGAAACTCCTTATAGCGGCACCCGTTCGTCTCTCGTAGTCGTAGTTGTAGTCGTAGTGTGTAAACAGTCTTACATTTGGCCTCCAAAGTGGTGGCGGTGAGAGATTTCATCTGTGCGTTGTTGAGCAATAAAAAATTCGCTGCGTGCGCGTTCACTAAAAGCTGAATTCTCCTGTCTCTCATTCACCCTTAGCAGCCATTTGCATGTACCTTGAGCACTATCTGACAACAAAGGGTTGCTACATTTTACTCGCTGGGCATAAACTCCTTGGTTTTAGAAAGGTTTAGCGAGCGTTGGGCCGCAGTGCCATCAATACAGTGACCTAGTATATACCATGAACTCGAGGTGGTTAAAGGTGGGAATTAGACCCGAAGCGCAAGCCGTAAGAAAGTGTGCGTGTACCACCTCTCGTTTAGTCCTTGAAATGTCCGCTGGATGGCGGTGCGTATGTGGAATATATGATAAAAAGATGCGAGATGGTGTACATGGAGTGTTGAATAGATGGACGATTGGACACACAGACAGATGCATGGACGGACTCACGGATGGCTGCACCGACGAATGGACGCATGAATGGACGCAGGGGCGGATGCATGGACGAACGCAGGGACGGACGCACATATCGACGTGCGGACGCACAAACAGACGCACGCACCGATCGGCGAATGAACGCACGGATGGTCATACAGACGGACGCATGAACGGACGGAAGCAAGAACGAATGGACAGACGGATGCTTCGCCCCACTCTCCATCAACCACTCCGAAGATATGCTGCCATTTTTTTTAACCGTAAAGGGCAAGTATTCTTACACGAAGTAGTCCGGTTCTGTACGCGTAAATTACGTGCAATCAGTGGTGCTTTTAAGCGCAGGCGCCGCTAGGTGTTTCAGGTATACGTAAGAATGGTACGATTTTCTCATGCGTGTGAAAACGCAACTTGACGACGAGAAAACTGAAAGAAATGCAAATATCTCAATGGTGTGTGCTACGTGGTATCTCAAAGGGCTACGTTTAGGAGAGACAGACAGACATATATAAAGGAGGGTGCTTGGACCTTCCACCGCCAATTTTTTCAAGTTCTTGATAAATGTTTTCTATGATGCCCCCTCTTCAAAAAACATGTCCTTGCTCGTTTGCAACCAGTCATAAGTCGTATTCCAAAGTACTATATTAAAATGAGTCAGAAAGAGCACCGATAACGTGGTCCATTGGTGCTTAAGAACATTGACACAATAGTCAAACGAGGTAATTTTAGGGTAAGAGACTTATGAACCAACTCATTTGGAGTCGCTCAGACACAGGCCGTGAGTGTGTGAGCTTACAGTAGCTGCTTACCTTAGGTCGAGAGGGAGAAAAGCAGATGAGTTGCATAGGAAGAATGATGAAAGATGGCAGGACTGCTGATAAATTGATATAAAAATCAGCTAAAACTCAAGCAAAAGGTAGCCTAAATAACAATGCCGGTCAATTTTCGCACCCGATTTCTAGTCAAACAGAAATACAGTGCTGTATTATATTCAGAGCTGTTAGTATTAAACCGCAAATATGAAGAATTTGAATTGGCAAGAACGATATGCGCGGCCTCAGACGGGGGGATGCTCGATGGAGCTCCTCTGTGCGCGCCGTCTCAAAGCTGGGGCGACAACTTGTGCGAGCATAGGCAAACATGGCAAAAAGGTTACAAATATTGATTTTCTTCAACATAGTGCTCTGCTTTGTCTTTGAATATAGTAGAATACTTATGGTAGCCAGTAAGTAACCATGGCGACAGGCTTAATTACTTGTCGCCTGACAGCATACTTTCTGTTGCCCCCTCATCCGCTTGCCTTCTCTGGGAATCTAGTCAGTTACCGTTAATGACCGGTGGTTATTCTCTTTATGCGCTACGTGACCAGCCCATGTACATTCTTTCTTGATTTCAAGTATGATACCCTTAACACTGCTTTGTTCGCTGAAACACTCTTATCCCTTCTTGTTACTTAACACGCGTCATTTTTCTTTCCATCGCTTACTGCTTCACGCACCATTTTTGAAATCCTGAAGTACCGGCAATATGCAGCTGTTACTTTTGCATTACAGCTGGTGGAGATACAGTGCTTGCTTTGTTTGCAAAATAAAAAAAAAACGAATTGTGCTCGAGAATGGGTGCTGAGATTTTTATTGGCGAAAGTATAAATATGCAGACACACGAAATAAATAATGAAAAATGACTAGAGAACAGTTTTTATTCACGTGCGTGGCATCAGGAAGCTGACTTATTATTCAAACAGATCAAGCGACTGAGCGTTTGATCTGTCTGAATGTGGGACTTTTTTAAAATACGACTAATTTGTTTGAGATATTCGAGGCTTTCGCAATTTATCAAAGGGGTAATCGGCATGTGAGTGCTCCCTTGCGCGATCTGTTTAAAAAAGAAATCAGCTATTTCACTTCATCCAGGTTACTAGTTGTTGACATCTATCCATTGTTCGTCACATTGTGTACGCATATTCTTGCTTTCAGCAATGAACATTTCCGTTGGAAGTTAGGGCCTATGCAAATGTCATTATAGATTCTCGTGTATTACCTGTTTTTTTTTTCACGTTATCTCCCAATTAGCCCCCTTCCGCTGCTTCTCCAGGAATATCAACCTACATATCGGGTCAAGGCGCTTCTCCATCCTCGAGATAAGTGCTAGGCCAGGCATGTCATGCAAACGCCTATCGATCTGATGCTCTCGTCGACTAGGTGTTGATACCACTGAGATCTCATGTTTTGAACCACGTATTACATGTCCGGAGGATAACACAAAAGAAGAGCTGCCGGTAGGCTAACTGACCAGTGTACAGCCTCACGTAATGACTGAGGTTTCTATAGCAGGAGACAAAAAAGAGAATGAGCAAATGTATACATATGATGGCAGCAGGATAACATTTAAGACAGCAGTACAAACATAAGTGCTGTACAATAACCTATGCATTTTTTTCACAATAAGGCAAAAAAGAAAATTGCTTACAAAGCTTGACAAAGCGTTCCGTCATCACCTTGAAGATCTTCGACAAATATCCAGGCACAGAATGTTTTCTGAAATAGAGACCTCCGCTTAGTTTATCAGTGAGCATCTGTCTTCAGTCGCCTTTCAAATAAAGAGCAAGCACTTCGAAAGCGGGTAAAAAAGACGATAGTTCTGTTACCATTGCCATAGTCCCTCAATACAAGTATATAGGGACTATGCTAATAATAAGTTTAAACAGTTGTCTAGGCTTCTATTTATTCACGTATGTTGTCAGTGCTAACATTTATTGCACAATAAAACGTTTTGCCTTCATTACACCATAGATTGCAGCTCGAATTTTTATTGAAAAAAAAAGAGCTAGACATCCATCAGACTAGTTTCTTTCAATGATATCGAGCGTCAAGCATAACACGTGGGCTCATTGGGAAACTGGCAGCTCGTAAAAAGGATCGCATGCTACGTGACACCAGCTGGTGAAAACAATTGCACTCAGTGTCATGTATACAAGCTGCGCTGGTTAACACTCCGCAGTTTACATGCGTACAATACCGTAATAAAATATGCAGAGAAGCTTCTGGTGCCAATGAATCTGCGGACACCCACAGTAGCGCTTGTATCACCATTGCTTTGAAAGAAAGGGCAGGCTACGAATAAATATCATTTTTTAGATTCAAGGAACTTGATTTGCAAGTATAAAACAAACCTGCACAAACTCAATCACCAGGGTAAGCATTGTTCTTCAGGTGTTGTACAACTGGCGTACACTTGAGAGCAAATACGCTTGTTTTGTCGCGGCTATGCATATATATAAATATATATATATATATATATATATATACAATGTGACGGACATGTGAAAGGTAATAAGGAGAGAAAGACGAAGGTTGAACCGCAAGTTCTTTGATGTAGCCATCGCCTTGCTCGACTTCCACCAAATCCATTTGGGCTGAACATGTCCCACAACGCATATGAACATCGAACCCCCTCCACTTCTGCGCCGACCAGTTCGGCTCCACAACTGAGAGATGCTCATCCATTTACTGGCAGACCAGATGAAGATGTCGCGGCTTGGCTCATCTAGTACAAATGGAATAGCGCCGCAAAGAAATGGGATGCCGCTTCTCAGCTTTCGTACGTCGTGTTCTTTCTGACGAATACTGCGTTATAAGGTACAAGAATGAAGGGCGAGGAAAAGCTAACGACGTAGACCATATTCGTTTGTGTCTGAGGTATATTAAATATATATAAATATATATATATATATATATATATATATATATATATATATATATATATATATATATATATATATATAATATACATTGCCACGTTCCATTTCCCAAGTTTTTGTCCAAAAACACCACACGATTCTCAGCGCAAACCGCACCTGCAGTTTTCGAGAAGGTTCCGGACTGTAGTAGATCATTTCGATAAGATCACGCCCACTATGCGAACGGTACAGATTGTTCTGGAACTTACGCCACCGCCAGCGATAACGCTAGAACATTTTACGGCAATAGTATAAATGCCGACGCACTTCGCCGCTTGTCTGTTGTTGTTGATCGAAGGCCGACGCTCCGTTCGCCGCTATCAGTCCGAGACTGCATCTGTGCAAGACGGCTGCTGTAAATGGACTTTCCGTTTACCGGGCACAGGTTCGCCCAAATAAACAGTTAAATCCCAACATGAAGTCTCCAGTCTTCGGCCACGTCACGACCCCGTGACATCTGGTGGAGGTGCTGTTTTTTCCATGTACCGGACGCCTCCGTCAAGCCGTGAACCAAGCCCACGCCGTAAAGACACCGACGCTAGCAACGAGCAGCGAGTTAGCTTCAGGCAACAAGGTCTGCCACCGGAGTACGGGCTTTTACTGGACAAGGCTCGGAAAACCAAGACGTTGACGTCGACCATGGCGACCATGTCAACGCCGGTTCTACCTGCACCACTCCTGCTCCGGCAACCCAAAGAGCCGCCAACTTTCCGCGGTTCGCCACTGGAAGACGCGGAAAGCTGGATCGAAAGGTTCGACCACGTCGCTGCCTTCAATGACTGGACAGACGAAGACAAGCTACGGCATGTGTATTTCGCCTTGGAAGATGCTGCTCGGACCTGGTTCGAGAATCCAGAGCGAAGCCTCACAACGTGGGACGCCTTTCGCGCCAGGTTCCTCACCACTTCGCAAGTGTGGTGCGCAAGAAAAAGGCCGCAGCTATCCTCGAAACCCGCATGCAGATGCCAAATGAAAATTGGCGATATTCACGGAAGATATAATTAAACTCTTCCGCCACGCTGACTCCGACATGTCCGAGGAGAAGAAGGTGCGTTTACTTATGTGAGGAGTAAAGCAGGAACTCTTCGCCGCGCTGATCAGAAACCCGCCTAAGACGGTCGCCGAATTCATTTCCGAAGCATATACGATAGAGAGAGCTCGAGATGCGCACGCGGCAATATAACCGTAGCTTCTCGTCTACAAGATACGCCGACATTCAAGCGCTCGGAACCACTGACTTGTGTGAGACGATCCGAGCGATCGTGCGAGAGGAGCTGTGAAAATTACTTCCTTCAGCGCAGCCTCACGTGGAATCCATCGCGGACGTCGTACGCCAGGAGATCCAGCAGTCGCTGGGCGTTCCTCGGCCTCAAGAGCCGCAGCTGCAAGTCATGAGCTATGCTGCTGCAGCACGCCGCCACGCCCCTCCTCCACGCGCACGCCAAAACGCCGCCCCATTGCACTTTCGTCGCCCCCACCCCCACTGACGACCTACCGTTTGCAAGCGGGCCAGCGCAGTGCGCCGAGGAAAACCGACGTTTGGCGCACCCCTGACCACCGCCCACTGTGCTACCACTGCGGCGAGGCCGGGCACACTTACCGCCGTTGCCAGTACCGACAGATGGGACTGCGTGACTTCGCCGTCAATGCACCGCATCCACAGCCAGAGAACGACGACGTGACATCGCCGACTACCTGACAGGAACTCGGTGGACACCACCAAGCCCTTCGCGTTCGCGTCGCCCAGCCGCCGCACGTCACCACACCACCGGCAGTACTCTGGCCCAACGCGGGGCCGGCCTCCTAGGACGTATCCGGGAAACTAAGGGCAGCAACCGGTGGAGGTGCGGTTGCTGTGCGACGAACTACCGAAGATCCTCCGACGACGACGACGCCGCGATGGAGCTTTCCGAACACAACGCCAACCAGGCAAAGCCCTGACGGCAAAAGATCACTTACGGAAGGTGGCCTGACGACGCAACATGGAAGCAGCGGAACAAGCGGACGCAGCCGTGACCCGACGCCACGCCCCAAATGTAATGCGAGACGGCGAACTAGCGACCTCGACGGTCTTATCGACGGCCACAGTGTGACCGCTCTCGCCGATACTGAAGCCGACTATTCTGTCATCAGTGGGTCGTTGGCCGCGAAGGTAAAGAAAGTTAGGACAGCTTGAAAAGGCCCTGAAATCCGCACAGCCGGAGGTCATCTCGTAACGCCTGCAGGAATCAGCACAGCGAGAGTCACCATTAACGGCCGTATTTATCCTACAGACTTCGTAGTCCTACAGCGTTGCTCGAGAGATGTCATCCTTGGCATGGACTTCTTATTCCTCCATGGTTTTGTCATCAACCTAAAAAAAAGTCGATAACGTTATCCACAGAAGAAGCACTACCGCCGCACACGCCGTCAGGACACCATGCCTTGAATGTGCTGAAAGAACAAGTGACCATTCCGCCTCGCTCAAGCGTCATTATTTCAGTCGGCGCTTCTAAATCACCTGACTTGGAAGGCGTCGTTGAAGGCAGTCAGCATCTGTTGGTCACCTGAAATATTTGCATCGCAAGAGGAATTGCAAAGCTGCGGGGAGGCAAAGCAACGGTTATGCTCACGAATTTCAGCAATGAGTACAAACATGTGAACAAAGGAACGACGGTCGCTTACATCGAAGTAATTCTGGAAGCCACCAGCGCTCTCGCCCTCGCCGATTCTGAGGAACCTGCTCAAAGGAACGAAGCCCCTCCCATAGTTTTCGACGTCAATCCCAGACTTCCGAACGCTAAGCAAGAACAGCTCAAGGCCCTGCTCCTGCAATACGAAGATTGCTTTTCGTCGTCATCAAAAATTCGGCAGACCCCAGTCACGAAACATCGCATCATAACCGAATAAAATGCCAGACCACTTCGTCAGAGTCCGTACAAGGGTTTTGACGCGAGAACGTGAGGCCATAAAGAGACAAGTTGATGAAATGCTGCGGGACGACATTATTCAGCCGTCCAAGAGTCCATGGGCATCCCCCGTGATGCTAGTGAAGAAAAAGGATGGGACCCTACGTTTCTGCGTCGATTTTCGCCGCCTGAACAAAATCACAAAAAAGGACGTGTATCCTCTCCCACGAATAGACGACGCACTTGATCGGCTCCATAACGCCACATACTTTTCGTCAATGGACCTCAAGACTGGCTATTGGCAAATCAAAGTCGACGAAAGAGACCGAGAGAAGACGGCGTTTATAACACCGGACAGCCTCTTTGAGTTTATTGTGATGCCCTTCGGCCTTTGCTCAGCACCTGCAACATTTCACCGCGTTATGGATACAGTATTGGCAGGATTGAAGTGGCAGACTTGCCTTGTGTACTTGGAAGACGTCGTCGTGTTTTCCTCGAGTTTTGACGAGCATCTTTGGCGCCTTGAAGCTGTACTTCAAGCCATCAAGACTTCCGAACTCACACTGAAGCCAGAAAAGTGCAGATTTGCGTATAAGGAGCTCTTGTTTCTGGGGTACGTTATTAGCAAGTGTGCAGTTCGTCCCGATCCACGGAAAACAGCCGCAATCGCCGACTTCCCACCGCCCACTGACAAGAAAGCCGTGCGCCGATTTCTGGGCCTGTGCGCCTACTAAAGGCGGTTCGTGAAAAACTTCGCCCGCATCGCCGATCCTCTCACTAACCTTACCAAGGCCGACGTGAAGTTCAAGTGGGAAACGCCACATGAACACGCTTTCCAGGAGCTTAAACATCGCCTCCAGACGCCTCCGTTACTTGCCCATTTCGACGAATTCGCCGAGACAGAAATACA